TATCATTTTCATTCAAATCTGGAAAAGTTTGAACGTGGTGGTTTAGTTGGTTAAATTTTCATATTTAGTTGAATTGATAGCTTCAATTAATTCCCCTAAATTAATTCTTTGCAGTTAAGTGAGATTGCATGAGTATGACAAAATGTGATTTTGTCCAAATGTAAATAAGGTGAATATGTAAGGATCATTTGAGGTGATATGATGCTATCGTGTGAAGGTCACGAAAGTGATAAATTGCAAAGGATTGAAGATTAATATGCTTAGTTTCATTCGTTGTTGAATTGGACTTTAATCATGGAACCAATTGAGTGCTTGAAAAGCATTAACGAACTATTAGATGACTTTGATAAAATGTGTGATAAAATTGAAGATAGTCGGTTTGAAGTATATTGTGACATAACAACCATTATCAAAAAGTACCTGAACTTTCACAGGCATTATCTAAAGTGATAAATAAATTAAACTGTGAAAGAGTAGATGAACTCTAAGTTCAATTACAATCCCAAATGTGGGAGTTAACATTAACGCTTGTGAACTTATATAAAAAATTCAAAACTTGTGAATGCAATATTACAAGATTGTATATAAATTCCTAAGAGAGGAATTGTAGGGGTAACTTGATTTAATAGTTACAATTGCTTATATCTTTTACTCATAGAAAGATATCTATGAAATGAGAAAAAGTAGAAAAGCCCTTATGATTATAATTACAATTATAAGGATGAGATACACTAAGTCTAAATGGATGAATTGGGTGATAGTCGATCATGGCACTTGCAAAACTAATGAAATATTTAAATAATATTCATGCTATTGAAAATTATTGTAATAATTCAATGATGACAATTGAATACCCAAGTATGAAATCCACAACAAAAGTGATTTGACTAGTGTAATGATTTGATGGAAATCATCCAACGATGTTTTCAAAATCTATAAAGCTTTAAATAAAGCAAGTGAGAAGCTTGTGGCTTCATAAAAAGAGAATTCTTGATGGTAACAAGATGTATCTATCAAATGATTCGATCGTTGGCTAGCTTTATTTGATAAGATACTAAGTCACATGTGATGAAAAGTCTAGACATATAAGTATGTCATAAATGTGACTTATAAGGAGATTATCAAAGGAAGGTGGAATAATTTTCGAAGAGAATTTAGCGGATCCTTTAGCTAGACCACTAAATAAAAACTTTAGTGGCATCTACTTCAAGTGGGATAGGTTGAAACTCCTAAACTATAAAGGTCCACCAATGACGGCAACTCTACCGTCATTACTCAAAAGGTAATCCACGGGTTCAAATGGTAAAAACAAATCATTCGATATGTGGGATGGTTTCAGCATTATGAAAATCCACGATAACCCTATCCTAATTAAAATAATCTTGGTTGTTACTGAAGTGAGGGTTGAGCAATTAAAACTTTTAATGAAGTTTAGTGCTGAAACACAAGTATCTCTAAAAGTAACAAAGATACTGGAATAATTTCTCCTAAACAAACTTCGAGGTGGTGCCGCCTCAATTAAGAGTTGGAGTTTCTATCTTAAAGTTTGTCCAATAGGATGAGCGTAAGGCCATAACAGTGCTAAACGAGTTATGAGGAACTTGAGAACACATGGTACTCGTGTTTGTGTTCTAATCGGTATTGTCACATGAAATAATTGGTACAAAGCTACGATTACCTTTGATTCTGACTTTATTTTGTTTGAATTACACTATGGTTAGATTCAAATTGAAATATATCTAATCCTTTTGCATGAGTATCGTATGATTTGAATATAAGATTTTTTATTGAATTTTAAATAAGTGGGGGATTGTAGAAATTGTTGTTCAAATGTTCAATAAAAAATGAAGTGGAACGAAGGTGGAATGGAAAATCAAACCGGAGGCCTATTACATGTGCCACGTGACCGCATGGCCTATTGGCTCAGGCGGTCGCATGGCCTATTGCAGAAAAATTGGGCGGTTGCGGTGTGAACCATGCGACTGCATGGGATTATACCATGCCGTCTCATGGTAAGAAGGAAATGATTGTTGGAGGCGGTTGAACCATGCGGTCTCACGGTAAGAAGGAAATGATTGTTGGAGGTGGTTGCGGTTTAAAATTGGTGGCATTTCACTTATATTTTGGCACCACTTCACATAGCCTTGTTTCATGTCTATATATAGGTGACTTGTAATCATTTTAAGGTGTGAAAAACATTACTAGCATAAGAAAACACCTAGTGATCAACATATCATCCCACATCAAAATCAAACACTTGATTTCTTATTCATATTCAATATCTTTCTTGTGTTCTTAATGCTTTGAAAAGATTGCACTTGTGCTTTAGTGTTAAATCTTTTACAAAGCTTGATATAATCCTACAAATCGTTTGTCAAAAACTCTTAAGCATCTTATACAATCTCAAGAGGGGGCAAATATAGTTTGAGGACAGTGATTACGTGTTCGAGCCTTCATATTCATTATGTTCTTCATCTTCTTGATCACATTTCTGGTTGTTAGTTTCTTCTCCATTTTTCCCAGTTGATGTAAATTTCCTAACAGTGATTTCATCGCAGCCAGGCAAATGCAATGCGGAAGAACAAGATCTCCGCTGCCTGTGAACCAGAACCACAAAACCTAGATCTCTGCTGCCCATGGACTGTGCTCACTTCCAAAGAAAGAAGCCATAAGATACCGAAGTGAGCTACTAAGCAACTATCTGAGCCATTGAGCATCGCTCACTACTAGAAAAAGGAAATCACGGCGACAATTTGAGCCACTAAGCTTCATTGTGTGCGGCAGAGACGATCTGGCACTGCGCATAGCGGCACTCAGTTGGCTGCCACGTTCCAGTGAAGAGGAAGATGGGGAAGAAATGTGCCAAATATAGCTTCAGTCGATTAAGAGAAAATTGGGAAAAAAATTTATTCCTCTACTTATAAGACGAAGGTTCAAACGTGGAGAAATTTGGGGTTTAGGGTAGTTGGAGTGGGGTTATGGCGGGGGCTGTAGGGGGGTAAATTTTATAATATTATTAATAATTCGATTAATACTTTATTTTTATTTTTTTTTAAATAATCCTCCCACTTGATTTTTGAATTGAAAAACTTAAATACCATTTTATATATAATTTCCTCTTTGAAAATTATTATAAACATGGACTAGAACATAACTAATACAGTTCACATAATTGTAAGATATATAGTAAAACTGCAGATTCAAAAAACTCCAAAATATTGAAATCTTCCCAAATCAAATCATGAGAGGAAATCTTGCAAAAATAAAGTTTAAATAAGATCAAGAATTATTTCGACTACATTTTCTTTCTCAAGTATGCAACTAATCAACATAAAATTTATAGGTTTTTATGTTTCAATTTTATTTTATTTTATTTTAATTAATTATGTTGTTGAGGTGTTTTTTCTTCTAGCACACAAGAAATTTCATCTTTAGATTAATAATTTTGAGTTGGTATATATTAAAATTCAGACTTATATGAAATGAATTGAGTTAATATATATGAAGAATAAAAATTTGAATTAACTCAAGTGATGCATACAAGGAGTTTGTGAAAAATGACATTCTCCGTCATTTTAGCTGAAAAATGTCATAGTTTATCTTATTCTAATTCTTTTATAGCAATTAAATAGATGTATAAATATTTGTTTTTGAAAATTTAAATATGAATGCGAATTCAAACCTTGTTTTACATTAAAAAAAGATATGATGTAATGAATTAGATTGAGTTAATATATACGAAAAATCAATTTTGAATCAATTCAAGTAATGTTTGAAAAAATGAGAGTGCGTAAAGTGACATTCTCTGTCACCTTTTTCTATAATATCGCACTCTGTTTCATTTAAATTTTTTAGAATCAATTAAATAGATACATATATGTGTGTATGTTGTAACACTTTATTTGCATTTTGCGTATGAATAAAGATGCTAAAACTTGAAAATAACATTCACTGTTACTTTTTTTTTAAAAAGTCACAATTTATTTCATTTGAATTTTTTAGAATCAATTATTAAAGAAAAACATACGTGTGTATTTGTGAAATTTTAAATATAAATATGAATTCAAACTTAATTTTACATCAAAAAGTTACATGATGTAACACTTTATATTGTATTTTTTTATTACAAGTTAGCTTGCTAAAAATTAAATGAAACATACTCTGTCATTTTTTTAAACTAGTTTGCAAATATTGAGAAAATTAAGGGTCTGTTTGATTGAGAAGATGAAATTTGGGTTGAAATTGAATTATTTAGAAATTGTTTTCCAGAAATTTATAAATTATTATGTTTGATTAGTATAATTTTCCACGTTAAAAATGTTGAAATAAAAGTATTTTTTGGTGTTCGTTTGACTCTATTTTATATGAAAATTATCAATTAATGAGATAGAATTTACTAGTATTGGGATGAAACTTGTTTCCATTGTAAAAAATAAAAAAAATATCTATCTTTTGGTATTCGTTTGATTTTGTTTTATATGAAAATTGTCAATTAAAGAAAAATATTTATTTACAATAATTCTTAGAATTTGTTTCCATTGGAAAAAAAAAAAAGAACTGGTACAGTGACTAGAATTGGAATTCTCCAATTCAAGGAATATGTGAAATTTAGCTTAGGTGGCAAAAAAAGTGGAAACTGAATTCTAGATAAAAAAAAAAAGAAAAAAGAAAAAAAAGGTTATCCAACAATACAAAAGTCGAAGTTGGAATTGATTTTCCATTTTCCATGAAAAATTTGGATGTATCAAACACACCCTAACATCTTCATATGTTTTGGAGGAAAACGGAAACAAGATAACAAATATAAATATGACAAAATGATTGCAATTGTTGTCCAAATAGAATGTACAAATAACAACCTTTATTAAAATATAAATGTCACTTTTTATAAAAAAAAAAAAAAGTAACATATGTTGTTACTTTTTTAAGAAGTTAAGGAAGTGACAAAAACTCAAAAAAGTGACAATTAATTTGGATATAATTAATATTTAAATTTGTAGTTCTAATCATTTTTGAGGGTATTAATCTAATATTTTATTTTCTAAGGGTAGTAGGCCTAATTTCCCTTTAGTTTATTTTATTGAGGTTAGATGACAGTCTAATCTGTATACGCAAAATAGGGAATTGCATGAGAGTGCTATTGTCGTAGATTCTTCTCCTTTTCAAGATTTCTTACATGGGATTCTTGGTCTCTTTGATGTCTTCATGTTCAAAATATAAGCAAAATGCAGCAGTTTCATCCAAAAATGGTAATTTGCTGACACGCACAACAATTCCTGAAACACTTCCAAAATCTGTGATTCACAAAATGCCAATACCATTAACCAAAAAAATAAATAATTAAATAAATAAATAAATAATTAAAATAAAATAAAATAAAATTAGAAATAATCTCCTATCCCCAACGGGCAAGATAAAAACTTTCCAACTTTGACTCTTTGAAACGACAGACAAGAAGTGTCAACTAAAAAAAGTCAGAACTATCACAATCTGCTCTTTATATTCAATTGTATTAAACATCCCGCTACAGAAAATGTCACGAGTACAACAAAATTAACATAAATCAACAAGATCTTGATATATTTCTCAGAAAATACAGTGAAAATTATATTAAAATTCAGATATTTGTACATATACAGGCAGACTGAACCTTTCTTTTGGTGAAGATGAGAACTCATTTTGGCTTCATTCCCCAACTTCTAGAATCAAATGTCTTGGATTTCGTTTTATATCACAGTTGAAGTAGAATATAAATCATAAATTACGAACAAACCTGCATATAGGAATCAAATGAATTTAAATATGTATGTAAAAAAGGCAGCAGTTATTCCCCAAAGTGATGATTTACTTCATAATGAAAATAGAATGCAATCCCTTTCACGCTCAATAAGTCCAAGTCAATTATTATTGCTTCAGAAGCTGAAAACCCTTTATGGCATGTTTAATAGGAAAGATTAAGGTAGTCCAGTCCTGTCATAGTTGATCACGGATCAAATAACTAACCTCATGTAAAGTATTCAAGTGATATATGCCAATATGCCATTAATCCCGCAGTTTGATTTGGCCAGACGACTAAACACGAAACAACTACGATTGCAGTGTTGACATCATGTATCTGAGAGCAGATCTTAACATTGCTCTTGCTTTTCTATCCGGAGTGCATCCAGAAAGAAGCATTTCTTCATAAACACCAGGAACCTAGAACGTGCAGGATGGCTAAGTTAGATGAAAGTATGGAACAATAATAAATCAGCTAATACTACATAATTCACAACTTTTTCCAAGAAATCTTGTCTTATATCATGATGCCAACTAGAATTATGTGATGTGTAGATGATAAGCTGAAGACACGGCACACACAAACTCACGCTCTAGTATTTAATATTTGATACCAAGATGATCTTAGTGATCGATAAAAGTTCATGTCTGAAATTAATATATATATCACCTACTAACTACAATTTCGAGAGAAGTCTTTTTGTATTGTTATTTATTACAATGGGGGAAATATGTTTTGATGTTTAAAATCTAATCAATACATATAATCATGCTATGAATTATGCAAATATATAATATCCTAAGGAAAATACAGCAGTTTACAAGTAATTGAGCATTGCTTGAAGTACCTAATTGTTGTATGTGGATAGGAAATTCCAGGAGGGCAAAAAGCTAATTATTCCAAAAATAACTTGGACTTAGAGATAAGGCTGAAGATAAACGAAGACAGAGATGATGATTGACAAATAAGTCCTAAATGGATTTACACGTGCATTGGATGTTATGTTAAAATACATTAAAATCATAATTTTGTTATTTATTTGCATCAAGTTCTTCTAAAACATAGAAACAATCATGAGAAGCTCTAACTCATTGAGTTCAAAAAGATTTTTGAAGCTTTTCCAAGTTAGTTTAGCATTTTTTTTTTTCCTTAAGAACCATCTATAGCATAGTGACAGGAAAGATCTTTTCTTGGTCAACAATATCCTATGGTCTCCTCGTTTTTCATGAGAATGATTACAAGTGAAAGTATAAATATCGGGCTCAAAATCAAATAAGGCTATAAAACTTGAAACTCATAAAGAAAATTTCTTGGCGCATTAAAGTATTTGGAAAGTTTATCTGATAGCTATATTAATTAATATTTTTCCATCTCCTGTGATTAATAAAATATTAAGTGTTGCTTGGGTTTCATTTTTTTTCCTGCTAAAATTATAAGTTGATAGAAATGAATGAAGGATAAATGGATACTACTCGTGGATCCTACGAAACATGTTATTAAAATTAATGTTTGACTTGAAAATGAACTTTTAGCAAAAAAAATAAATATAAAACTCGAACAAAGGCTAAAGAGTCTTCTACAGTATCTTTTATGGGCACGATATGATGTCAATGCCTAACATAAGTTACATAACTATGCACGACATCCTGGATAAGCGAAAAGGCAAGATTTAAAAAGTAATGGTTACATATCTTGCCATATTTGCTGAGTGTTTTGCGTTGACTGATATTGTTTATAGTGCTTATAAGTTGTGGGTCCCACAGAATATGTGGATAATTGTGGATAGTAAGTTGTGAAGCCTACGGAATATATAATAAGTATTTTTGACCAGCTTAAATCATAATTTAATCTATAGCCAAACATGCTAGTAGTGGTTCGTGATGAATCTCGGACCAATGTTCCTTGAGCTGTCTTATTAGGTTCTTAGAAGTCAGAATATGTGCCCATTACTCATGCCTTGATTTATCTTTCAGAAGTTATGAAACTAATAAAGAAGAAGAACTGAACTGATCGCAGAACCCGAAATGAGCTAAAGATGATTAACGAGGAAATATAAGATTGAAAGGGACTTTTCACAAAAATATATTATCATGTAGCTTAAAGTTCATGTCTTCTAGAACACAAAAAATAAATATACTTATGATATAGAGAGTGCCAGAAATTAAATGTACCTTCTCAAACTTCTCAACTCGAATTAATGCTTTCATGAGTGTGGTGTAGGTAACAACATCTGGCTTCAGGTCCTGGGGTCACAGGATAACATTAGCATCCAACCGGACAGTAAGAAAAGCATTTAAATACCCAAAATTAAAGAAATAAACTTAACATATTCACTTCACTCACATTTTCGTTCATGTACTCCAACACAGCAAAGGCTTCAGCATCCCTCCTGTCCTCGCCGAATGCATTGATCAATGAATTGAGAGCTAATAAGCTAGGTTTAAGACCATCTCCTCTCATCACTCTAAATGCATTTACTGCTTGCTCTGATAATCCCTGTCAACAATCATATCAGGCTAACATCAGATGCATATTCAACAACAAATCCATATCATGGTATAATATGATAATCCCTGTCAACAATCATATCAGGTTAATATCAGATACATATTCAACAACAAATCCATATCATGGTATTGGAAAAAACAAGAATAGTTAGTAACAGCAAGTTTGGCTAAGCTGCAAGTTACTTAGGAAGTAACTTTTTCAAGGCTAAGCTGCAAGTTACTTAAGAAGTAACTTTTTCAAGATGTCTCTTTTTAAGTAACTTTTCAGCTTAGCCAAACATCCTCTATCATCATTTTCACAGAGACATTAAGCAAAAATAAACTCAAGTACAGAGCACATACCCTCTGTGCATAGGCATTAATTAGTGCATTATACATGGTGGAGGATGGTTTCAACCCGGCAGATTTCATCACCTCCAGGCACTCAATTGCATCACTAAATCTCCCAGACTTTCCATATATATTAATGAGAGTCGTGTAAGTGACAACATTGGGTAATAGTCCCTGACTCCGCATCTTTCCCAACAATTCCTTCACATCATTCCACCGCTGTTGCTCTCCAAAAGAATTTATCATTATATTGTATGTCGTGGTGCAAGGCAAACAACCACTTTCCTGCATTTCCTCAAACAATTCCTCCGCCCGATTATGGTGCCCTTGTTTGCAATGGCAATCTATAAGCGTATTCCACGTCACAGTATCTGGTTCAATCCCTTCCACTTTCATCCTCTCAAATGTAGCCATCATATGATCAATACAATTATACTTCCCAAATGTATCAATCATCACATTGTAAAACTGCCTATCAGGATTTACCCTGCAATTCTTCATCTCCTTGAGGACCTGAAATGATCTCTGCCACTCTCCCCTATCCCTATAACTTGCTAAGATCCTGCTAAAAACATAAGAATTCGGCTTCACATCATTCAATTCCATCTCCTTCAACACAATCCTAGCACTCTCCCACCTCCCGGCATTTGAATATGCATCAATAAGCAAACTATACGTTTGCTCATTGGGCAAAACCCCTGTCTCCTCCATCTCTGACACAACATATTCTGCATCCTTTAAAGCACCAACCTTCACGTACCCTCTCAAAAGCGCGTTATAAGCTCTTGATCTAGGTTTTAAACCGCCCTCCTTCAATTCTTCAAAAACTGCCTCAGCCTCCTCAGTCCTTCCCATATTCCCTAACTCATTCACCACCGTCACAAGTGTACTTGTCTTTGGACTCAACCCTTTCCCTTGAATCGCTCCCAAAAAGTATAATGCGCGGCTTATATCCCCAGCCTTAGCAAACCCCACAATTATATCGTTTAACAACTGCCCATCTAACTCAATCATATCAGCCTCCATTTCATTATACAATTTCTCCATTATCACTGCATCTACAGAATTATTCCTTATAAGTGACTGAACAATCAAACTATAGTTCACAAAATCAGACTGGTAACCATCACCCCTCATTTTTAGCATCAAATTCAAGGCCTTTTCCAGATCACCATTGCGCGCGCAAGCCCCAATCAGCGCGTTATATGTCAATGGGGTTAGTGTCTGACGCTGTGAAAAAAGAAAAGCTTCGTAGAGCTTCTCGGAGCGTCCGAGCGCGTGGATGAGAATGGAGTACAGAAGTTCATATGAAAAGCAAAGATTGTGTTTTTGAAGCCAGGTGACTAAAGAGTACGCGGCAGATATTGAAGAAGAGGATAAGGATAGGGATTTTATGAGGGAATGCCACAGAGGGGCCGGAACGGCTCGGTATGACTCCACGAGTTGGAGCTCCGCCGTGTCGAGTCGGGTTGGCGGGTCGGGCTCAGAGGTAGGGATATGCTGGGAGGATGAGAGGAAGGTGAGGAGGGGAGTGAAGTCGTAGTGAGAGTTTGGGAGGGAAGCGACGTCGTATGGGTCGTCCTCTAATTCTTCATATTCTTGTTTGGTGAAATTCAGTTGTTGTGCGGTGGTGGAAGAGGCGGAAGAATGACTGGAAACGAGTGGAGTATGAAGGAGAAGAAGATGGTGCTGGTGGCGGCGGAAGAACGGCGGCAGAGGGAAGTGTGGTGGAGGGAAGCGGAGATAGAGTGACGGAGGAAGTTTTAACGCGTTCATTTTCTGGCGGAGAGACGACGGAGCAAGACAGTTCTCTATTATCTTTAGTTTTTAATTTTAGGAAAATTCAAAAGGAATTTAATTAAGAGCCTAAGTTAGGGTGTACGATTAAAAAAAAAGAAAAAGGAAGCCCTTTCTTGTACATTTTTTTTTTAATTAACCTTATTTATCAAAACATAGATCAAAATTATTTTCTTCTACCATGTTTGGCAAAAGCAAGTGCGAGCTTATAAGCTGGATCCACAAATTGTGTTATCCAAAATTCACTTTATTAGTGTGGATTCCGCAGCTTATGAAATAGATCATTTAAGGAATTTTCAACTTATCTATCATATAAGAAGTTGTGTGGATTTTGCACCACATAATTTGTGGATCATCAACTTATAAGATATAATTTTTTGCCTAACATACTCAAGTCATCTTCCCTTCCCTTCCCTCGCCTTGATCTTGTTATTCCACTCTCTTAAATTCTACCAACTCGAATTCATCGGATTTGTTATCACAATTCCCGCTCGCAATACTCAAATTTAACTCTTAACATTTTCTTTTTTGCAAATTTTTTTCCCTTTTGTGAAACCATTGCCTTAAAATAGTTGTTGTATACATTACACAAACAACGACGTGGACATGTGGCAGGTATTCAACTAGTTGAAAATTTAAGAGGAACAAAATTAATTTAATTTCATTTGTAACTCACCGTGTCAACCTCTATTTTTAGAAAATTGCGTCCAACCTTTGAAAAATTAGTGTCATAAGTTCAAATGAATGAGTTTCATCATTTTTCCATTAATCAACCCGTTCGACCAGCAAATGTGTGAGTAAGTACTCATTTGAATGAACGGTGCCAATTTGGATGGATGGTGCTAATTTTCCAAAGGTTGAATTCGCCACTGTCTAGAAAAAAAGGTTATGATGGATTTACAAATAAAACGAAAAGTTAAGGACATTGGTTGATATTTATCCTAAATATTTATCTTGATGAAAAATTATTTTTTTTCCCAATTTAGTAATTCCCTTAATTAAATTTTTATTTTAATTCAAAGTCAACGAGCGATTTTAACCACAAATTCTATGGATTTTACAACTGTTTAACTATACATTTCATTAATTTTTATTAAAATTTATTAAAAATATGATTTTAATCTCTATCAAACAGAGCTAAAATTGTGTCATTAGCTCCTCAAATTCGTAAACTTTTTGAAAACAACCTGACATCTAGTTAAATAATTATAATCCAACAAACGTTCTCCTAGTCTTACGTGGAGCTTCATGAATCTTGATTGAATTGGTTACTGTGATTTCGCTCCGCATTCTCTTGAATTAACAATTGTTAAATTTTATTGAACGATATTCACTTTTTCTTATTATTAGCCAAAGTTGAACGTGCATCGTATGTTATTCTTAATAACTTTATAAGTTATGTAAAAGTAATATTTGATACCAATTTGTTTGAAGATTTAATGAGTCTTAAACGAATTAAAGAAAATAAAATTTAGCATAGAAATTTAAGAGAATGAAATTGTACATTTAAACTTAATTTCTATGATTCAAATTTTTTGTAATGATTAAATATTATAAATGAGTAATTTTTTTATATTATATTTGATACATAAGAATTAATAGTTTATACATAAATTTAAACATCCATTAAAATTTTTAGACACATAAATATGAATAAATTCATTTATAAAAACTCTAAATTCATATAATTTAAGATTTATCAAGTAAAAATTTATTGAATTTAGATTAATGTGAATATTATTAATTGAGAATTAGTAACACGAATTTCATAAATAACAATAATTATATAGTATTTATTATGTATCGAAAAATGAAAAATAAGGTATTATTGAAATAACTAATTTGTAGGGAGTAAAATTTGTTCAAAAAATTATTTTGTGATACTTTAATATATTATAGATTATAATTTTTGAATAAAGCATGTTTACTTGTAATTATTAACAAAAAAATTTGAAAGTTTGACTTTCTTTCTACTCAATGGAGACATTCCATAACAGATTCACTCTTCCAAATTTGTTTCCAGAGTCCTGTAGTTCAAATTCAAACCTAAATTTTCGAAATATGCTTGTATAATATAAGATTAGGATGACTGCAGCAGAAGCTCCAAATCTTCGAAATACTAGCAGATTTTCATCAAATCTTTGATTTGTTGCAGTCGTCACCCATAACATTTTCCAAACATTGCATGTAAGGCTCTTTTTCAGGGTTTTCATCCAAAATTCCGTCAATTGACCAAAAAAATGATTTTGACAATATTTTAACAATTTTTAAAGAAGCGAAATGGTAACTCTGTATTAAAATAAAAAATCAAAAAATAAAGTTAGTCTTCTGCTTCCCTAACCCACTCCAAATCTACCCCCAACGCCACAACAAACCAAGAAACCCATCAGCAAAATCATTTCTTGTGACAACGAATTTGTCGAGAAGGAGGGGGGCTGAGATGGTCTAATCGCTCCTCAACCTCCCGATTTCCCTAACTCAGGTGGAGTGGGTCATATTTTCGGAATGAGCGGCTTCCAAATATCTATCATAAATACAAAAAATCCCGTCTCAACCACTTCTCCATTCCTACCTCTCTCGATCTCTTGAGAGTTTTTAAGAGAGAGAGAGGAAGGGATAGACATTAAAGGGTTCTATGTGAAAACGAGGCTTTTGCAAAATAACACAAGGCATTACAAAAAGAATTACACTACACTTACAAAATTTTTTATCGCAGATGTTTTGCAGAAAAGACACATTGGTGGGGTGGAAGATTATTTTTTGGCATTTTATATCACACATGGGGCCCACGCACCTTGAGGATTCTGGCCAGATTCCGTGAAGGAAAATTCTGTACATACAGAAATGCAAACAAGAGTAATTTTTGCAACACAAATTTCAAATGGATTCTTTGGTTCTTTTTATCCTTCTGCTTCTTTTTTGACTCTTTTCTTATTACCAACAATAAACCTACCAATTCAATTTCAAGAAATATTGTTTCTAAAACCAAAACACTCTCGAGTTCTTATAGAAGAACTATCCCTTCTCCAACACACCCATAATGCCCAAGGTAAGAAGTGTTAACGGTGAAAATCCCCCAATCCATTAAGCTCAAACCGGCATTCAGATGAAGCTTGTCTTTTTGCTAACTTCTTTCTGGGTATTCTTTTAAATACATCAAAGGGGATGAAGCTTTATTTCTACGATTGAAAAATGTGGATGGGGTTGGATTTGGGGTGGGT